GCTCCCGGGTCCGCGCTGCAGCCCGCTCCGCTCGCCGCACCGCCCGCGTCAGCGCTCAGCCCTCAACGTTTTGACTTCCCCCTGCCGGCCTCTCCAGTCTCTAGATCGCTGCCTTTGCTCCACTCTCCTTGCTGTTTGCCACACCACGCTAGCTCTACTATTCTCCCGTTTATCCATAGGCACCCCTGCTTGCATTTCCCCCGCTCCTTTATATGGAAAGCATCATTTTGATTTAGGATGAGGCGTCTTTTTTAATCTCGCCCGTTTCAGCACGGAAGACTGAAAGGGAACCTTGACCACCACTCCAACCCTGGTGGCACTTAAAAAAAAATCACAATTTTAAAAGAAAGAACAAGAAAAAAGAAAAGTCTTAAGAGGCAAAGGAGCGGAACTCGGGACCCTCTGCAGACCCTTGATTGTGACCACCCAGGACTATACTAGTCATCAGAACTCCTAATTCATCCCATTCAACTGAAAGGGAGGGCGCCTGGAGCTAGAAGCAAACTTCGGTGGTCTCCCTGGATCCCTGAATCCCGCATTTGGAGGGGTCGAGCGCCAGAAAACACAGGACCCCACCAGGAGGAGGAGTCCCGCGTCTCTCTCTTCTCCCACCAAGCCTGAACCTTAGACTGAGACACGCGGGATATAGAGAAGGAAAGAGGGTAGTAGAAGATGCGGGGCTCCGGGCCCCGCGGTGCGGGACGCCGACGGACCCAGGGCAGAGGTGGCGGCGACGACAACCCCCGCATCCCTGTCTCTCTGGCAGGCTGCTATTCTGCACCTCTTAAGGGTCCCCTCTGGACGTGCCTCCTCTTGTGTGCGGCGCTCCGGACCCTTCTGGCCAGCCCCAGCAATGAAGGTAGGGTAATGGAGGTGGGGACCGCGGCGCCCTGGGATGGATGGGTGAGGTGGAGCTTGTGTCAGCCGGTCGTTGCGCTCCAGGCGCTGCTACCTAGACCAAACCTCGCTCTTGTCTCCAATGATGTTTGTCCGCTTTCGCTGGCGTTTCCGGATCTCTCGGGTATCTTTGGTTGCATTGTTTGACATATCTGCAGAGTGCTTACCGGGCTAGGAACCTGTCTGTGGACTGAGGCTGGTTGGGGGCTGGGAAGTAGAAAGCCTGACGGAAAGAGGTCTGAGACCTGAGCTGGGAGGTTGGGCGCGGTTGGGTCCTGGCAACCAAGAGAAGTGACTCATCCGGCTTATTGAGAAAGGCGACAACAAGGCTCTTAGGATCGGTGGGGGTTTTAGAATCCTTATTTAATGTTGGTGTTTGAAGACGATGTCAGGGTGATTGGTGCTTTTATTTTGGAGAAATTTCCTGCCCCGGGAGCTGTCCTTTAGGGCACCATTAACTACTATTCCGGCCTGAGTAACAAGAGCTTTAATTTTTGAAGGAGGGGATCATGAAGGGCAGAAATTGATGGGTGCCTTTCTATTTGGGGAGGTCCCTAACACCCCACAGCAAAGGGAGAGGAAGGCGGGAAGGTAGGATGGTGTTAGAGGAGAGAGGGGTTGTGGATGCTTGGAAGTTGTTCACGGAATCCACTAGGCTTCCTGAGAGAAAATCTGTCCTAGTCAGAGGCACCAGGTCCTGAATGAAGTACCCAACCCTCCTATCCGCAGTTCTTTGCTCCGGACTGTTTGCCTTCATCTGCGAGAGTAAATCTGGAGTCAGGATCACCACCTGTGCTGTTCTTTCGCTAGAGCTGGTCCCAGCCTTCAAGATAACAGTCTTGCTCCATTTTATGGCTTTGCCTGGGGTCCTCTCAGTCACTCTAGGATCTGCTGCTCCTCTTCCACACTTCACGTCTTTCTCTGATCTCAGCCTAAGGGTCCAAACCTTCACACGGGGGAGGGTGGAGCAAGGGGAAAACAGTCCAGCATTTCAGACCAGATCCTTGCCATCCGGAGAGGTGCTCTCCACAGTGGAAACCTCAAACCCCTGTCCTCTTGTCTAGAAACCTGGGGTTTAGCTTTGGGCTGTGAAGGAGACTCTTGAGGTTTCAAACCTTAAATAAACCCTTGCACTTGGGGATGGGAGATGTTGGACCTGAGAAGATGAAGTGGCAGCAGCCGAGTGGTGTATGCCCTCGTGACTAGCATGAATTCAGTCTGCTGTAGAAGACGCTGAGCTGGTAACCCCCAGAGCTGCCAGTTCCCAAGGAACCCTGTGAAATCAGGGCAGATGGAGACTCACACCCCACCCCACTGACTCTCACTATGTTTATTATTAAACATCTGTTTAGAGGAATATGTGTATCTGTCGATGTCTGTCAGTCAGTAGTAAGCCACGCTTTAAGCCAAACAAGTTGCTTTTTTTTCCTCTGTAAAGTTTTTTTTTTTAAGTGATGTATTTTTTTTTGTTTGTTTGTTTTTAGACTTGGATCTTTTATTAACATCTTACGCTAAGACCATTAGATTAGAAGTCTAAAGGCTGTAAAAGGGCTAATGCAAGGGAGGGGGCTTCAGGGGAGGGAGGAGCAGAGAGGAGGAGAAAGGAGGAGGGAAGAGGAAGGAGGAGCTTTTAACTGTTTTATTCCAACCAAAGGACCATCCTGATTGAACTGCAAAATGATTTAAGGGTAGTATCAGTCATCTTTTCCTCTACATAGTAAGTCCAACCACTGATCTACGATTCCCTTGCCATGAGTGTGATGGGAAAGGGAAGTGGACTCAAGGAAGTGTTTATAAGAGAACTGAAGAAATCAATTCTCAAGGAGTGTGAACAAGGGCCAAGACTGAGGAGATGGAAGAAAGCAGAAGGAAGTGCAGGAATAGCGCAAGTCTCCGAAGGTGCCATAAGCAAAACTTGCATCTTGTGGACTGGAGCCCGGCAGCATGAACTTCAACACCCACAGGTTGCACAGTCTTTGCCTGCTAGACCAGTAAAGCACACAACTAACGTGGTTGCATGCCTATAAGGTTAGGAGGGTCTAACAGCAGCAAGCTCTCCTTTACCCCTGGTGCTCTGAAGACACCTTAAATCAAGTGTGCCTGCTGTTTGGGGAAAATATTGTGATGTATAACTAAAAATTTTATTTTAGTACTATTTGAGGTTGTGTGTCCAACTCATTTCTTCACTACCCAACAGGATACTGTCTTTAATACCACCCCAGACCCTCCTGTTTTTGTGAAATCTGGATTCTTTCAGCTTTACATTTTTTTTTTTTTAACCGCTGCTCCTATACATGGAGCGGTGACATAGTGGGAAGATCCTAGCATCCCTGCTCATTACTCATTTAATGAATAGGATAAAATACATCTTCAACTTGCTTTTATTTTTTCCTGAAGAGCTTTGGAAGGTCAAGTGCAGAAATATTTGTTTGATATGACATAAATTTATTAATACATTGATTAATAAAATTGATTGTCTACAACTTACAGAAATGTTTCGTGATTCTTCAGTCAAATGTGTGTGTGCCTGTTACAAACATAGAATATACACGATATGATTATGTGATAAAATAGGAGACAAGAAGAGATTAATGTGAATTATCATTTATGCTTATTATTCCAATTATTTTACTTTCATCTTTCATAGGTAACTGCATTCTAAACAAATTATACAACCAATATGTATTCACCAAACCACACTTGAAAGAAACAATCTGTATTAAGAAGGACAAATCTTTACTAAAAATCAAAATAATTTCAAGCATTTTAGCAGAAGACTTTATTTTCAGACTGATCGAGGAAGACAGTATTAGAAGCGCATCAACAAGTGAATACTTTTAAGAAATTTAATAAGAAAAGGGTCTGAACCAACAATTCTGATTTTTTTTGGGAGGTGGCCCTGAACTTATTCAATAACTGCCACTTTTTGCTGTCTGGAGATATATTTGTAAACAAGCATTATTTGACAAGTGCTTTTCACAGCAGGGATTCTTGGCCAATTACTGCTGAACAGCTCTGCATTGAAAATGATTCACCCTCAGTGAATCAAGCTTAATTCATTGAAGCTACAGTCAGTAATGCCTCTGTAAAGTGCTGACAGTTGTCAGCAGTTTGTGTTTGAAAAGTCCAGTTTCTTGTCTCTCAATGTTTTGTATGTTTGAGAAAGTAAGCTAGAAGGTTCTTGGGAAAGAAACACAGAAGAGGGGAAATTGGCTAAAACAACTTGAAAGACAATCATAAAATAGTAAATATTTTCACTGGAAAGAGCCTGGAAGTGAAGTTTGTTTAAGGATTTTTTTTTTTACTTATAATAGAACCAGGCCCATAAAACATATGTAAGGACACAATAGACTTGTAAAACTAAATGGCTTCATTTTGTAGCCCTGTCTTCCTGCTGTAATTCACTTCCTTTTAGATTAACCGGCAGGACCCCACAGAAAAGGACAGTAAAATTGTTCCCTCACCAGGACACTACTGAACAAGAAAAGAGAGCCATTACATCCCTTTGAATCGTAGGTTGTTGGGACCAGAAGGGACCATGGAGAGTTTTAGCTTTTTGCTTAATAAACCATGAAGGTTTGGGGTGGGAATCTTGACATTTTAAGCTCTTCCTTAGTATTAGGGTGACAGGTAAGATGATTTCATTTTATTATGTAAAACGGGGGGGGGCGGAGGAGTATAACAATTCCCAGACTTTCAATATAGTAATACTCTTAAAATTTCAATCTACATACAATATTTTTAGCACTGATAGAAAAAAATAAAAATATTTGCAGTTCTGTTTATTTGTTTTTCTGATTGGTTGGTTAGTTTCTTTCTGATTGGGTACAAATCAGATCGCTGTAAAGGCTATACATGAACTCTTATCAACGAACCCAAGTGCACAGATTTTGATACTTAGAAATGCACTATTTACCATATTCAAGTGCTCACAATAATTTATGAATTGTGAGCATTCAGAGAATATGACAGTTGTACAGAAAAATCAACCCTAAATGACTTAGCTATTTGTAGACAGACATCCCCAAAGCATTTGATTCAGTATTGTCACTGATAGAAAAAATGGCAGGGTTTTGTTATTTCCTGCTATTATATTCACGGTTTGACTTTATCATTGTGTTATTTTTTTGTTTGGTGTGCTTCTTAAGACATTTGCTGCAATGGGTTACTAATTTTTTTTCATTTGAGAAAATCATATTACATTAAACACAGAGCATGAGGGTACCTTGTTGTACTAACTGACCATAGCAACTTTTGATTTCAGGGTCAAAATTAAGTCTAAAACAGTGCTACAAACTTCTTTTAAAAACCATCTTTTAAATTTAAATTAGTAGATATAGCCTACTAGTAAACAAGTTGAGTTTTAGTTTGATGTATTTACTTATCTGAGTATTATGATGATATTTGAAATCATATAATACCCTTACTAATTTTTATAAAGTATTTAATCAGAATTAATTGAAGTACAAATATAAATATTTATTTGTTAATTGCTAAAATGCATTATTTCTACTTTTATCATAAAGAGCAGGAATATAAAGAAGCATGAAAGTGGAACACAGAAATGGAGAACTTAGAAACTGAGAGTGTTTTTTGCTGTTCTATATGTGCAGTGATATAGGTCAATAGGGACAGACAGGCACATGCTATCATGTTTGACTAGATAAATGCATAATAAGTTGCTCATGAAAATTAATATCCTTGAATACAAGTAATTCAAAAATTGCTTACTAGTAAAATATTGTATGTTTTATTTGAGCCTCAAGAGTAAATGAACACACATGCACAGCCACAGACTATTTAAAGGTAGCTTTCAAAAGAGCTCTAGAGATTTACTGAATACAGATTGAAGTGGTTCATGATTTTTGGATACAGTTTAGTAATGTTTACACTTAAAATAAGCAAGAAAATGTCCTTATTCAGTGAGACATAATACACATGGGTAAAATAAATAAAAGGAGA